ATTTACTGTTAAATAAATAAGCAGGGTGCTAAAAGGGAATGATAAGACTAAGAAAGAAATACAACAGGGTAAATAAGACAGCGTTACTGGGGAAATGAACACTCTAAGGTAGAAGGAGCCAGCTAAATTCCTTCTCCCCAGTCTGGGCTTCAGTCTCTCCTTCAGTAAAAAGAGAGCGCCCTACGGCTGATGCACTCTGACGCCAAGCCCAAAGGTGGGAGCTGGGCCCCAGAGACCGAGTCTCTCTCTCTCTCTCTCTCTCTCTCTCTCTCTCTCTCTCACACACACACACACACACACACACACACACACACACACACACACACGCCTCCTCTGCTTACTGGAGCCCTCCCCTTGCGAGGGAGGACTGCGCTATTTCTCAAGAACCAAATGGTTAATGCTTTTGCCAGGATTCTGCAAAGGAGGAAGGCGCGAGTTTGAGCAGCCGAAATTGGGGTCAAGCTTCTCAGTGGGAACTCGTATTCTTGGGGTGGACTCTAGGAGAGCGAATTCCATCGTCCCTTCGGTACCTGGGACACACCGTATGCAAAGAGATTACTTGTGCACTTTCTGGTTTACCCTTAACAACCGTATCTGGAGCTGGTAGTCACGGTTACTGCTCTCCTTGTGTAGATGAACAATGAGGCGCAGAGAGGGAAAACGTTGATCCCAGCTGAGGCCAAGCCCTGATTTTGTCCCTGTAACACCAACTCTCACTTGTATGAGTATAAGTGATGTTTGAAAAAGATTAAATATCCATTAAGGCCTGTTATATGTCAGGCCCTGGTCTTGTGTGATACTCATCACTGCAATCCTGAAAGATAGCCTTTTTTCCTGTTTTATATAGGGCACTGGGGCCCTGGGAGTTAAAGGCACTTATTCCTCTAAGAGATGAAGTAGGTATTCCACTCCAAGTCCAAGCCCTCCTCCCTTCCCTGAACCCCCCCCACCCCCACCCAGCACCACAGTTGTTTCCATCTCAGCAGGAAAGTAGAAAATAAACCCGGCTCAAGGGCCAAGAGAGTGTCAGGCACATAGAGCAGGGCAGAAGTCACCCCCTGATCATTTTCCCTGATTCCTCTTCCAGGTTCTGAGGGCCCATATCACAGAGGACCCCTTCTGTACCCATGATAACCACAGAGTGAAGCAAGGCTTCTTCTAATAGGAAGGAAACTGGCCACCATTGAATGGAATTTGGAGATGCATGCAGATCACCACCTTAACCCTGACCTTACTCCCTTGTCTATACTTGATGGTCTCTGTTTTCCTCTACAGTCCCCAGTATCTAGAAGGGACTGGGCTGGAAAGAATCCTTTCATTTTACAAAACCAAAGCCTCATTCATTCATTCATTCACTCATTCATTTGACAGATATCTATTGTCTGCCAATCTGGGCCAGACTTGGAGCTGGGCAGTGGGTATAAAACAGTGAACGGTTTCATCAAACTGATATATATTAGGCACAAAGAAAGGAAGCTCCTGGCCAGAGATCACACAGCCCAGAACCAGGAGGCCAGAATTCCCACAGGCACATTCTGCCTGTCAGGGCTTCACCCATGCTGGCCATTGTATGCATGGCTCATTCAGGGTCACATCCTAATTCCAGACAGCCACCTGCCTAAAAGCCTTTTCCCTAGTCCACAGATGACTTTCAAAATCCCACCTTGAAAGGCCCAGTACAGCTTTCCATACAACAGCCCTGAACGTTGGCCTTCCTTCCTCTAAAACTCCCAGCTGGGCCAGGGCAGTGAATGTTTCCAATTGGGAGTATTTTGCAAAGGAAAATCTGCTCCGGAGTATTTTTCAGTTACTCTTCAAAAATTGTTTGTGTGGTTTTGCAGCCATCAAGAGAGACTCCCAGGGGTGATGTGACTTGCCCAAGGTCACACGGTTAGGAAATGGCACACCAGGATGCAAACCAGGCCTATGTGAACCCCAAACCGGCTGGTACCTACCCACCCTCCACTCTTGAGAGGTCTATGCCTCCGCCCCCGGAGGAGTGGCAGAGGCGACTGCACAATTCCGGAGAAACCACAGCTCCCGTTGCTTCCTGAGAGAGCCAAAGGAGAGAGGCGGCGGCGCCGACCCGGCGCACTCAGTGGGTGGGAGAGGGTGGGGCTCGTCGTGGATCAGGGCCGCAGCTCCCGCCCGCAGGTACAAATTGGTCAAAATAACCGGTGCGTTCTGACAGACCCGGCGCCTGAAGCTGACCAGGCGCAAAGGTGAGGGTGCGACTCACAACCCAGCCAGTCCAGTAATGGAACAGATCTTGTTTTCAGGCGGCTCATTCCGCCCTCTCCAAAAAAAAGTCTTCCAAACTTTTGAGGTTATTAATTTAAATATGTATATATAACAGCAGAGAACTTTTCAGAAAGGAGATGGAGGCGGCGGATATCGGGTTCGTTCCCGGACCAGAAAAGCTGAAGGCTCTTACCTGCAGGAAATCTCGCAGCCCGCAAAGGCGCGTCTGTCTGGAGCGCTTCACTTCGGCGCGGGACGCTCACGGCCGCCTCCTCTGCAGCCCGTCTGGGCTCCGGCCCTGTGTTTTATACCACTATAGGCAATTAATATTGCATCAGCCGTATTTTAAATTTTCAAAACCCACAATATAATGTAATGGCATAAGGGCATTTATTATTAAAGGACACCCGATGGAGAAGGAGGTGGAGGCATCGCTGGGGCTGTTGCGCTGGGTGGGGGCGAGGGGCTGAGGCCCAGGGGCTGGGGGCGATCTCTAGGTTTGCTTTTGCCGCACAGGGATTTCACCGCGCGGAGGGGAGACCCACTCGGCTCGGAATTTCGGGCCGAAGGTGATGACCCAGAGCTCTTTGAAGACACAGAAGGGAAATGTGCGGACGACTCCCAGACTTGGAGCATTAATTTTTAAATCATGAAGGTGTTTCTGCGGCTCACAAATAAAAAGGTTTCTTCCCCGTTTTAGAGGGAGGAAAGAAAGAAGGGAACGGCCATCTGTTGAGCACCTACTATGGATACTGCATTATGCTAGGATCTTGACCACAGATGTATCATTTAGCACCCCCTGTTTAGAGAGAAGAGATAGAGCATGGATTGAGTAAACTCTCGGGTGACAGTTCTCAGTGAATTTCTGAAGTGACCCTGAAGGGGCTCCAACGGATTCTGTCCCAGGGAAGAAGACTTTCCTCCTCTTTGCATCTATCCACACACTTCCTATATGGCCATTTGAATCTTTTAAAATAATGTTTCATCTTAAGCACTAAGCACTACCAAATGCCTCAAATAAACAATCTTATTTAGCCTTGACAATAACCTTGTGAAGTGAATATTAACATCTTCATCCTGCAGGTGAGCAGAGCAATTCGAGGCTTAGAGAAGATAAGAAATTGGCTTCGGGATCATTCAGCCAATAAGTGCAAGTACTTGGCGCTCCTACTCTCATCAGTCAGGCTTCAAAGTTTGCAGTGGGTCTGAGTTAAGTTGAGCGAACAGAGGCTGATAGATTCACATGCAGGGAAGTGTGGAGGGAAGTGCCTTGTAACCCTGAGGCCCAGAGAAGAACAGCCAGATCTCCCTAGAGAAGATCTGAATGAGAAGGTTTGGTTACGTGGAAGAGGGGAGAGATGGCCAGAGACTGGCCTGCCAGAAATAAGAACCCAGCCCTTATGAGTTCTCGCTTTTAAATCCTTTCCAAGACTAGTACTACTCAGCCTCTGAGAAAGAAAAGCACTGTGATTCGGGTTGAAAAATAAAGCATTTATTTTAGAAGTTAATTCAAGGGGTAAAGAGAGAAGAAAACTTAATATTTTATTTGTATCTATTTGGAGAACAAAACCAAGGTCACACAGCAACACGCAAATTACATGAAGCAACGAAAGTTAAAATGTGGTGGGGTGATAGGGACGGCGGTGAGAAGGGTCCAGGCCAGCAGTCTGGCTTCTCTTTCCCCTCCAAATCACAAGTGCACCTCCACCGGGAGACACCATGTAAGGGGGATGGAAAGAAGTAGAGTTAAATAAATAATAGGCAATAACAATGCTAACAACAACAATAATAAAATCGCAATGAGGTTAGACGTGTTGGAAGGACTTGCATATGATTCAGAGAAGTTACAGTTACTTTCGAAAAGCTGCCTCTATGCTGCACTGGAAATCTGGCTGCAGCAGCGAGCTGGGAGCAGGGAGTCCCCAGTCCGACCTGAACACTACCAATCTCACCCCACCCCCCACCTCCAGCGGGCGGTAATCAGCCCCTCAAACACCATCAGATCTTGGAGGATGGGCCAGAGCAGTTGCCGGCTGTTGCTTGCAACCAGCTTTGGGACCTCGGCATTTTCATTTCAGTCGCCTAATTGAGCCCATCTTTTAGGGAGCCAGACTTACCGCAGAGAACAGCTGGGACCTCACAACTTCACGCACACTTTCCCTGAACCTCATCCTTGCTACCTTAGAGAACTTACAGCAAACCAAAGGATGAGATGGATAAAATTTAGGCGAGGAAAGGAGTATAAGGCTATCCTTTGGAAACATACATGTGTTTTATAGACTCTAAATAAATCTCCAGTACATGTTTGTGCCCCGGTTAGACTTTGTATTAGTATTTATCACTGCCTTCCCATCCCTTCACCCTTTATCTAATCACGCTTAGTAAAGTGGCGCCTTCACCCTGGAGTAGTGCGGTCGGGCCAGTTCACTATCTCCTGCATTTGGGCTCCTGCACTGTGGTCTCGCACTCCAGCACGCGAGGGATATTTTCAGCACCACGGACAGCGCTTGCCCCACCAGGCCTGCCCTTCAAGAATTTTTTCTTAGCGCCGTAACTTTTCAGCTGGGAATAGAAAGGAAAGAAGAGAAAGAGAAGGCCGGGAGGCAACCAGGTAGGATAAAGGGGGAAAGTCTGTGGCTTCGGGGGAGAGAGCCTGACCTGCCAGGAAACGTCGTGGAGTTTCCCATAACCGTCTCCCCCTCCCCCGCAACACACACACCCTGGGGGTGGCATACACTCAGCTCCGTGCCCCGCCGCAGTCAGTGGACCGCCGAGTACTTCATTCGTTTCTGTTTCTGTCTCTGGTTGCAAAACCAGACCCTCACCACGTTCTTTTTAAGGTCCAGTTTCTCAGCGATGGCCGCGATCTTCTCGGAGGAGGGCCTCGGCTGGATGGCGAAGTAGGCCTCGAGCGAGCGCTTCTCGGGCGCCGCGATGGACGTGCGTTTGCGCTTCCGCTCACTGCCGTTGAAGAGCTCTGGCTTGCTGTTTTTCTCTCGATAGGCAGCCTCGGCTTCCTCCAGCCAGGCCTGGAGCACCGGCTTGAGCGCGATCATGTTGTTGTGCGAGAGAGTGAGAGACTCGAACCTGCAAATGGTGCTCTGGCTGAGCGAGCCTACGCCGGGGATCTTGAGGTTGGCTAGAGCCGCGCCCACGTCCGCCTGGGTCACTCCCAGCTTGATGCGCCGCTGCTTGAAGCGCTCGGCGAAGGCCTCGAGCTCTCGCGGGTCCGACTCCACGTCGCTGAGGCACGCGGGCATGGCGGTGTGAGGCGCCACGGCGTGTGGGTGGCTCATGCCCATGGCCTGGTGCAGGTGGCCCATGGCGCCCAGGTGGTGCGGGTGGATCTGCGCCGGCATCACCGAGTGCTCTGGGGCGCCCAAACCGCTCACGCTCAGCGTGGGAGAGATGTGCTCCAGCAGGTCGCCCTCGAGGCCCTGGTGCACGGCGTGGTGCGGGTGCGAGGTGAGCGCGGCCGGGTGGGATATGGGCACGGTGGACGAAGTGGACGTGCAGGGCACGCTGCTCATGGTATGATAGGTGGCGTCGGGCTTGAACGGATGGTTCTTGCCGTGGGAGACGATATCCACCGCCGCCAGAGCTTCGGCGCGTGCCAGCAGGCTCTCATCAAAGCTTCCAAATATATTACCCTGCAGCTGCAAGCGAGAAGGCGCACAACACGGTCAGTGGGGAATACTGTCAACTCAGGATTAAAACACATTTTCAAGCAACCGAGATGCCTCTCCTCAAAGCCCAGGTCATAAAAATTAATACGGAGACAGAGGCTCTGCTGGAACAGACGTGTGGATCAGAGAGACATGAATGAGAGAGAGAGCGCGCCGGGAGAGCGCGGGGGAGACACGGAGAGGGGTTCAGACAGCGGCGATTGTTCTGGGCGACATGAAAAAAACATGAAGCTAGTGCCTGTCAAAAAATGTGCCTTAGAGCGGTAATTATGCTCCACTACGTACCTGCGGGGCTGGGAGACAGACTCGGCGCATGGCCTCGGAACCGGAGTGCAGGCTGGAGAATTTGGGTTCTTGAAGCACCGGATGCATGCCGAAAGGCTGCTTGGCGTTCATGGCCATCATCTTCGCGCGCCTGGCAGGGAGGCAGCGAGGGACATGGATCAGGCTCGTCTCGCTCGCTCGCCGCGCTCCAAGTGAACGCCGCTCAGCGCCCGCGCTCCCCTCGCCCTCTCGCTCGCTGCCTCCCCTCTCCCCCACCTGCTTCTTCACTCATCTTACAAGCAGCCTGCCAGGAAGGGCCCGGGCGCGCGCAGGCGTGCTCACGCGCCCAGGACTCGCTGGGGCGGCCGGGGAGGCGAGGCCAGGCAGCATCAAGGCGCGCGTCTGTGCGCCCGCCAGGGCCGCCCCCGCCGCAGCATTTATACCCCGGCCGGGCCGGGCCTCTCCCGGCCTGCCCCGCCCCGCCTGGCTTCAGCCCCGCAGACCTTTCTGATTCTTTCTTCTTCTTCGTGGACTAGTTTCCCTAAAGTCTCAAGCCTCTCCGTCCTGTCCCAACTCGCACTGCCCAGATCGAAGGGCAGCCCCAGGCTGAGTGGGTCCAGGAAGCTGACCACACACACACACACACACACACTCACTCACTCACTCACTCACTCACTCACTCCTTGTCGGCCAGGCTGCCGCCAAACTGCCCATTTCCAGGGCGCTCCTGGCCCCACGCCCGAGCCGTCCACCGGAGTCCGGTCCTGCGGCTCAGCGAAGAGGCGCCTCCAAGCGCCCAGACGGGCTCCAGGGAGGGTAAGGGGCTGCCAGAATGAGCCCCAGGTGACCCCAATCGCCCGGCGGGGTGGAAATGGGGGAAATAAATGTCTGCCGGGTCCTGGAGACCAGCGGCTTCCTCCAAACGCTTTCAGGTCTGGCCTTCGCTAGAGAAAAGACAACTTGGCCCCCTCTCCCTTTCCCCAACCCTAAGTTAGTCTAAGGAAGCTTACTGAGTTCTGTTTAGAATAGTAACAGTTCAGGACTGCCCACCCGCCTGGGGAGTCAGTCGTGCACTTCGACTGGGCTGCCAAACCTTACAAGCCCCGTTCCCTCAGAACGAGAGCTACCATTTTTGAGCTCCTAATACGTGGTAGGCTATTTAGAGACTTAGCTCCTGGTATCCTCACACCCTACGAAGTAGGTACTAATTACTTTGCTTTCCAGGTGAGGAAAACAAGGGTCGGAGGAGTTAAGTGACGCTCGCAAGACAAGAGAGCTAGTTGGGGGCAGAGCCGTTCACTCACTCGTTCCGTTATCCATTCCACGAATATTTACTGATGGCCTATTGTGTGCCGGGTGCCACGTCTGACTTCCCAGGCTCTTAATCATTTGGTACAGTTCCTTCCGAAGTTTTGGGACCCGAAGTGCCCCAGGGTTAATATTGCTCCGCCCCCGCCTCGCTCTGATCCTCTCTCCTTCCCCCTGGTGTCCTCTCCTTTCCCCATGCTAGTAAATAAACATCGTGAATAATGGATGGTGAATCCTGGGACTGGGCAGCACCGCCCCCCCCCGCCCCCCGGGGTTCGGAGCCGAGCCCTGCACGCCCAGCTGAGCCCACCTCGCTTCGGATGCCGCCTCCGCTGGGGGGGGGGGGGGAGCTACCATTGGGTTTCATAACTCTCCGCAGCCTGAGGGCTGGGCCATGCGCGCCCGCGTGTGGGGGCCAGGTTTCTCAGATTGTGAGCATAGAGTCTGGGGGGGCGGGGGTGTCAGCCCTTGGACTAAGAGGAAATCCTGCCTAGATCTGGGCTCCCCAGGCTCGGATCCTGCCGGTCCCTCCTCTCCGCATTGCGGCCAGCCCCCTTGCCTGGGTCTTGTCGGTCCTGTAACCGGGGAGGAGGACCGAGCCCAGGTGCCTGAGGCCAAGTAGGCCTCACTAAACATCACTTGAGCCTCGGTTTCCTCGTCGGTAAAATGGCAGTTGCACTCCTGTTTGCCTTCTTGGGTTCTAGTGAAGATGTTTCAAACTAGAATAGAAAGGAAAGCACTGAGCACTGTATCTAGTGCTCAGCAAACCTCACAGCCTGATGCTTGCGCACTCACGGCCTTGCCCTCAGATTCACATGCATCTCTGCCTTTTGCTGATTAGAGGCCATGAGCCATCTCAGACGTTGTTGAACTGTACTTTCATCATATGTTAAATGGAGAAATAGTTTCTCCTCCACTAACTCTTGCGAGCAGTGCACCTAGATAAGCTTTCAGCACCCTGCCTGGCACAATGAAATCATGAAATAAATGTTTGTTGTTCTCTTCTTCTTCCCTCAACTTAGAGATAAAGCACTGGGGAGCCAGAGGGGCTTGAGTTGTCTCCCTGGAGAATGGTAGACCTAACGGTGCAGAGTGGCTCCCTGATGACCTTCCTTCGTTCAACACCTGCTTTTTGCCAGACTCCACACAGAGGGCTGGGACACAAGTGTGAATCAGACTCCATCCCTGTCCTCACAGAGTCACCAGCCTAAAATCCACTGCAGGAAATTGTAGACTTGCACTGCAGTGACAAAGATGTAGATTCATGACCAAGACACGGAGCAAGGCTGTTGGGATTCTTGAAATATAGAATACACACCAGATCTGTGGGCCTTAGGACGGCTGGGTTTTAGACAGCAGTCTGATACTGGGCTTTATGCAACCCTGGCTGGGCCTCAGTTTACCCACAGGAAGAGGGCTGGACTAGAAGGTAAGAACTTCCAGCTCTAGCCATATTGTACTGTTCTAGTTAATTTATATGAAACACATTTTAATTGAGTCAAGAGCCTCTTTCCTAGGATCCTTAACTTCCCAGAGTCTGAATACAGCATTGTTTTATCACTTCACCAGCATTTAGGACCACTCATTGTTGTTTTCTGCCCAATGTGGGAAGGCAAATGGAAAGATGGGAAAGAAAATTAGGGATGCCGGATCCTCCAGGGAGAAGATTTTTGTAACTTGCCTGATTCCCATGGTGCCCTGAGACCCACAGTCACCTAACCATACCCTAATTGTCAATGAGGCCGAACCCTGAGAAACAGAAGCAAAAGCCCCTACATATCCACCCTTCTCTGGCTTTGTCTCCTCAAGGGCCTGAGAGACACTTGCCATGGTCAGTTGAGGTCAGGCAAGCGTCAGAGCCAGAGCGAGAGTAACTTGCCCCCTTAGGCCTCCGTGCTGACCTGCAGCTCACCAGCCCCTGTCCTAGCATCCCCAGGCATTAGGACCACAAATCAAAAGCCACTATTGCATCAGGCAACCTGTGTTCTTTGGATTTTTCTCATCCTTACCTTCAGTGAAGGTCTACTGGCAGGTCTACACAGCCAGCAGTAAGGTGACCCCTCTCCTTAGGAAGCAGTCTTTCTGAGAAGGCCCTGGAGAGAGAAGAGATGAGGTAAAGATGACAGAGAAAAGAAGGAGAAGGAGAACTCTGAGCACTGTATACTTTATAGGATTTGCAAACTTGAGTTCTGTCAGGAGCAAGTCCAGTAAAGCAGATCCGTTGGGTATAATGACCCCTCCTCACCCCTGTGGCATTAAGTTACAATTAAAATGCACATGCATGTCCCTCCACACACACACCCCACATAAAGGCCAAACAAAATCGGTCTCAGGGTCCAAATAGGGACCACATGGGCATTTATGTAAATGACACCAATGGAAGCACTTTCTTCATTCCACAATCACTTCAGGATACCTACTGGTGGCTGAATCTTCTGAAACCTTCTGCAGGCATAGAGCACACTGCTTCGAGAACTCAGACTCTAGTGGAGACATAAAATTGCCACATGTAACTCTAAATCAGAACACAAAGCACGGTGCCCTCCCTGTAGGGAAGCTAAGGCAGAGGGGCAGGGGCAGAAGCATTTTCCTGTGGGCCAGTGGCTTTCAACTTTAGCATAAGCAGGAATCATCTGCAGCCTCTTAAAACACAGCTTCCTAAGACCACATGCAGAGATGCGGCCCACAAGAGTAAAGTGTCTCTTTTTTTAAAAGAGTGGTGGTGGGGGGGGGAGGGGAGGAGCAGAGGAAGAAAGAGAGAGGGAGAATCCCAAGGAGGGACTGTACTGTTAGTGCAGAGTCCCGGGGGGGAGGGGCTCGAACCCCTGAAACGTGATATCAAGACCTGAGCCAAAATCAAGACACTTAACTGACAGAGCCACCCAGGAGCCCTGGAGGTACTTCTTAATAGACATTTATGATTTGCATGCAGTTGACCTGGGACCCTCAACTTGAAAACCTTGAACTGAAAACTTGTTACTTGACATTATTTTTTTAGGCTCTGAAACAATTTATTTAAGTTTCATTAAGACTCAAAGAGCTACACTTTTCTTCTTTGAGTCCTTTGGATCCTTTTCTATTATCTCTTGGTAAGAACATGATGTTTTAGAGTCTCAGCTCCTTGAAGGATCCTGGGACTTCTTTGAGGATTCCCTGTGTCTCCAATGCCTGTGTCTATAGGCCAGGTATCATATAGGAGATTAATATAACAATGTGCATCGAATGAATAAATGCATGAATAATATCTTCCCAACGATTCTCGCAGTAGGATGATGGTAACAACAAGAAAAACCAGTTATGGACTGCCAGGCTCTGGGTTACGTATTTTAGAAAAGAATTATAACTGAATTTCCACATCAAGACTTTGACATTGACGTTATTATTTCCATTTTCCAGATGAGAAAACTGAGGCACAGAGAGAGACTGATTTTTTCCAAGGCCACACATTTAAGCATGGTAGGGTGGGCATTAGAACTCAGGTCTTTCTAACTTCTGAGCCCATGCTTTTAATTAAGGTCCTGGCTGGCACTGGATTCCCCACACCACCCTACCCCCAACCACAGACGCTGAGACTGGGAGGAAGAGCAGGGTTTACTGCTCTCCCAGAAGGCTAGGTGGACTCTATTCCAGAGGCTCAGAGGCTGGCCCTGCTCCAGGCTTGCTTCCGGCAGAGGCCACTTGCAGAAGCCAGCAGCTACCCAGTCCCACCTCCATCCCTGGCCTGGCTCCACTTCGGAGAGAAGGGGAGGCAAGGAGGAGGGGTGGAATGGGAGATGGCCTGATAGGACAGCCCGACAGCCCGAACTCAAGATGCCATCGAGGGGAGGCAGCTG